ATCTGGTGAACTGGAAAGTGACCTGAGATGACATGATGTGAATTGGAGCTATAGAAATAAACTGAATAGAATGATATATTGAAGCCCATGTAGTCCTTTATTAAAGTGGGCTAATAAACTTAGAGCCTGTGTTGCCAGACGAGGCTGATAGAAGACTTTTACATTTTTGCGGCTCCAGACAGATTTTTTAAAATTTTTTTGGTCTAATTTGTCTCTTTGAGCAGTTTGGGATGCCGACTCCTGCTGTGTGACACATAGTTTGGACTATGTAGCAGCCACAGTCTGTACCCGAGATACATTTCCTTTGGGACAATGAAGTGTTTATTCCCTTTATTTATTCAATATTAACTTACATGGGATTTTTTTGAAAGCTTTTTAGCCCAGTATACTCGGTCGTTCCAAAGCTCGTCCTTACCTTGACTCTCATGTCCGTGTCAGTGAGGACCATGTAGAACTCGTCGTACGTCATCCCAAACTCCTTCCTCAGCTCCGTGATCAGGTCCTGGTTCACCAGGTCCTCCTGGCGGAGACCCTTCATAGGTTTGTCCTTTTCTGCAGGAAGAGAAATGAGCTTCTGTGAACTTTTCATTTATTCAGGTTGCAGCTCCTCACCTCAGAGGATTTAAATGGGAATCTATGTCCCAGAAAACAAAGACGTAAAAGTAAAGTTGAAGCAAATGACACACTTTTCAAATGTCGAAATGCTTTGCATTCAGTCCTCCTTTTTAGATCAACGTCAAACAGAAGCTGCAGCTCTAAGGCTAATCTCTACTGAGATCAAAAACGTGGACTGAACAAAGAAACTGGTTCTCCTCCTGACCCGTCTGCTCTGATCCTGTTTGGCCTCTAATGCTCTTTAACAATATTCTTATATATATATTTACATACATACATATATATATATATATATATATATATATATATATATATATATATATATATATGTATGTACTGTATGTTTATTAAGTTTTAAAAATAGAACATAGAACATCGTATTCGTACATCATAAATCGTACCCAAGTGTAGGAAGCATAAACATAATAACAAATAAGAAACAAAATATACTCTTGCCAATATAACAATAAATATAAAAACATGCAATAACTGCACTGAAATAATTCAAAATCTAGATAAGATTTTCTTAAAATAAGAGCATTTGTTCTTGGATTGAGGAAATAAAAGAGGCATTTTGCTAATGGAACAAAACAGTTTAGATTCTACACTGGAAAAAATCAAAATCTAGACGTGTCATTTTTTTCTTAAAATAAGTGCATTTGCCCTTGGATTAAGGTAGTAAAAGAGAAATCTTGCCAATGGAACAAGGCAATTTACACTTAGAATGAGAAAACAGATTAGTATTGTTTAATTTCAAGTGTATATTATCTAATTATCTTATTTATCAGACTAAAAATACTCATTCCATTGGCAAACTATCTCATTTACCTACTCAAATTAAGGGGAAATACACT